TGGATAGAAAATTTTGCTGAACCTTCACCTCATCTCACGGTCTGCAAGAGATTAGGAGCTTTATGTGCTTCAAAATTACGTTTCCGTTCAAAGATCCGACTAACTTTTCAAGCATAAAATTATATAAATTAAAAACTGAAAGACAAACTAACCGGCGTAGGTTCCTGTTTGGTAAAACTTGATTAGAAATCGTGGGAAACGTAGGAGTCAGTGTAGGAAACGTAACATTCAGCACGAAATATATATCTTTTGTTCCTTCCTCTCCGAAACTCGTTCTAGAAATAGAATTATAAATAGAAAATTTTAAAATTTCAAAAATTCTACTATGAAGGTTTGTGCCTCTTTAAATAATACTCTATTAACCGCGACAAGTTGTGAACTAAGAAGTTTTGTGTGCAGTATGAAAGACGTCGGTTCAATATAAGTTCATTTTTTTTATATTTATATAAGGATAAGGTTTAAGTATCCTCACTCTTATTGAATCTAACGCGCAATTAGGTCGGTAAGTTAGATCTCTGAATGCGATGATTAATTATTGCATGTGGCAATGAGTGAGGAAGCAAGTCAGATTTCATGTAATAATGTAAAATATTGTGAATAATTACAGTGAATGTTGTTTCTTTGTTGTTTACAGAGAAACAATTCAAGTTTTATTTCCATTTAAAGATAAGGAAAAACGGAAATAACCTCACAGTACAAAACAACATTTTCGTTGGAACTCACAATGGAAAAGCTGCTTTTCGCTTTCAAAGTACTTAGTACCCCAGATGATAAAACTAATGTGCTGTGCATAACCTCAAATGGCACACCGGATGGCCAGACATTCATCGTTCCAGATAACTATTTGGACGCACGCACTCATGAGGCGCTTTTAAAGACTCCAGCATTTACTAAGATAAAAAAGTCATTGACTCAAAGAGGCCAACTAAGGAATATTTGGATTCCTCTCACCAATGAAGGCAACAATTTACAAGTTAATGATGAATACTTTGAAGAAAAAATTGAAAAACAAAATAATACTAATTGTAAGGAAAATACTTCAGAACAACCACTGATTCAGTTACTAGAACAATTACTTAAAAAAACGAATGAACAATGAACAGGAATAAATATAGGCCAAATAGCAAAAGAATTTACCATTGAAAAATTTAATGGAAAAAATGCAAACGCGAATCAATGGATAAGTAGTTTTGAAAAAGAATGTGAAAGATTCAATATAATAGAAAATGAGAAAAAAATCAAGATTTCAAAATCATTCATGGACAAAGGTGCTACCGATTGGTACAGCAACACACTCTTGGAACTTACTATAATGCAGAATGGGAAGATTGGAAAAAAAAACTTTATGATACATTTTCTAGTAAAGGTTGGTCTTCAATAAGATATGCAATATCATTTAAATATCAAACCGGCTCCATGCTTGATTACGCGCTAAAAAAAGAAAAACTTTTATTAGAAGTAAGAAAGTCCATTGATGATGGAACACTGATGGATTTAATCGCTATTGGCTTGCCAAATTTCGTAGCTGATAGAATTGACAGAGAGATACTAAAGAAAACTGAAGACCTATACAATGAAATAGGTAAATTGGAACATTTAGCTTCTAAGAAAAATTTAGAAACAAAAAAATATAGAGTCCATAACAAAGGCAAAAGCGAAAAGATACCTTGTGAAATCTGTAAAAATAAAAACAAAGATATTAGATTTCATCCTGAAACCGAATGCTGGTTCAAAGATAGAAAAAATGATGAAGAAAAGACAAAACACGTAAACAATTCTATATTAGAAGTAGAAGTGAGTAATAATGATCCAAAAAACTAATAATTCCACCATTAATTAGTCTCAAGGTAAAACTAAACGACATCTTAGAAGTATCTCCTATTTATGACGCAGGCTCAAATGTCTCATTGATAAATTCAAAACTAATACGTTTGAAACCAAGAAAGGACAATACGATGCAAAAGATAACTTGAAGACAATTAATGGTGTACATAAATCAGACGGAGTGATAACATTAAAAGTAAAAATATTAAATATAGAAGAAAGAAAGATAGATGTCTTCATAGTAAATAATGAAAATTTTAAACATGACTTTCTAGTTGGATTAGATTGTAAAAAAAAATTCAAACTGATACAAAATGAAAAACTAGAAATAAAACAGAAAACTAATGATTTCGAAGAAAAACAAGAAAGATGTCAAATAAACTTCAATGAACATGTAGATCAAGAAAACTTTGAAATCTTGACAAATCATTTGAACCATCATGAAGAAAAAATGATAAAAAATCTTACAGAAAAATATATTTGCAAAAGACAAACACGATATAGGGACAGTAAAGGATTACGAAGCCAGAATAGATCTCATAGTAGATAAATATTGCAGTAAGAGACCATATAGATGCACAATTGAAGACAAAAAGGAAATAGAGGAACAAATTTCTAAACTACTCAAAAGAGATTTAATCGAAGAATCATACAGCCCTTTTGCAGCCCCAGTAACACTAGCTTATAAAAAAGATGAAAACAAAAAATCAAGATTATGTATAGATTTCAGAGAATTGAATAAGATAATAGTTCTCCAAACACAACCTTTTCCATTAATCGAAGATCTAGTAATAAAAATAAGAAATTGTAGATACTTTTCGAAACTTGACATAAACTCAGCGTTTTGGTCCATTCCTTTAAGGGTAGAAGACAGACGAAGAACTGGATTTGTAACCCAAGTACCCAAGGAGGTCACTTTCAATGGACCTGTCTACCATTTGGACTAAAAACGTCATCAGCTATATTTCAAAGAATATTAAGTAACATAATAAGAAAACAAATTATCAGATTTTGCAGTCAACTATATAGACGACATACTCATTTTTTTCAAAAACCTTCCAAGAACACATTAATCATTTGTCGCAATTACTAGAAGCAATAATGAATGAAGGTTTCCGATTAAAACTTTCTAAATGTACCTTTGCCTTGGATTCCGTACAATATTTAGGACATGTAATAGGATACAGTTTAATTTCTCCCCTAAAGGATAATTTGATTTCAATACGAAATTTTCCGGTTTCACGAAATCAGAAAAATGTTCTACAATTCTTGGAGAAGATAAATTTTTATAATGAATATGTACCGAAAATTTCTATTATTCTGGAACCACTACATAATTTATTAAGAAAAGGTCAAGAATTCTCACCTGGTCTACAGAATGTCAAAAAGCCTTTGAATATATGAAGAATTTCCTCTGCCAGCAGCCGGTGTTAGTTATTTTTGATCCGGAATTACCAATACAAATTTACACAGATGCAAGCTTACAAGGTACAGCAGCTGTGATGAAACAACCACAACTAAATAATAATTCGGAAATAGAAAAACCAGTAGCCTACTTCTCCAAGAAACTTAATGAATCTCAGAAAAGAAAGAAAGCTATTTATCTAGAATGCCTAGCAATAAAAGAAGCAGTACAGTATTGGCAACACTTGGTCATAGAAAAACACTTCAAAGTATTTTGGGATCATAAGCCGCTAGAAAAAATGAATATTAAAGCTAGAACGGACGAAGAATTAGGGGATCTCACTTTCTACTTATCACAGTATGACATGGAAATAATACAGTGCTCAGGCAGAGATAACTTGGAAGCAGACTGCTTAAGCAGAAACCCAGTATTGGAGTCTCAAGAAAACGAAGAAGATAAATTAAAAATTGTCAATCTAATAAAAATAGAGGATATCATACAAGACCAAGAGGGTAACGAAAATTTAACAAATAATAAAAATAATCTAATATTTGAAGATAATCTATATTATAGAAAAGAAAGGAAGAAGAACAAAATTGTATTATCAAAAGAGTTTTGTAAAAAACTTATAAAAAATATCCATAAGGAATTTTGCCACATAGGCATAAAACAAATTCAAAGCAAAATACTACCTTACTATACGGCAGAAGATATATCAAAAAATATCGAAAAAGCTTGCAAAAATTGCGAAATTTGCATACAAAATAAATCAAGAAGACGTAATAAAATTGGTCTAATGTCGCATCTCGGTCCCACAAAAAAAGCCGTTTGAAGTGGTTTCCATAGATACAATCGGTGGATTCGGTGGTTCACGATCCACTAAAAAATACTTACACCTTCTAGTAGATCATTTTACTAGATTTGCATACATAGTAACATCAAAGACACAAAGCGCGAGGGATTTCATTAAACTGACAGAAAATGTGCTAAGAAACCATAACATCGAAATACTTTTAACTGACCAATACCCAGGCATAAATTCTAAAGATTTCAAACATTTCCTAGAAGAAAAAAATATCACAATGATCTTTACAGGAGTTAACGCACCATTCTCGAATGGTTTGAATGAAAAACTCAATCAAACTTTAGTAAATAAAACTAGATGTGTAATAAATGAAGAAGAAAAAGAACAAATGTGCATGGACAAGCATAGCACATAACTGTGTAAATAAATACAATGAAACCGAGCATACAGTAACAGGGTTTAGTCCAAAATATTTATTACTAGGTAAAGATACATCAGTATCACCAGAGGAATTGAAAAAAAAGAAAGATAGTGATCTAGAGAATGATAGAGCAGTTGCCTTTGAAAACAGTAAAAAAATCATAACTACAATAAAAAAAAACTATGACAAAATAAGGTCCTTAGATTTTTTAGGGACACCTTCAAAGCGCAAAAAAACTGCCACAGATCTTGGTGTTAGACTTACTAAATATATTATAGCCTTCTTTTAAAAAAGTATGTCTTTTTATGGTTGTAAATTTTGTAATAAATTAGACGCATCTATAACATCCATTAAAATTCCAACCAACTTCCTGTGTTTAAAAATAATTGAAAAAAAAGTTACTTAATTTAAAAAATTGATGACAAAATAATCTAATCTAAAATTTCAAAACCTGTGTAGGCAATAAGAACTTAATTGTCTCGTGGAACGAGCAAGACGAGTCGCGGTCAGAGCAGACTCATAATAACGCATCTTTTTTATTTCAGAGTTTGGGTGTAGTTTTATACGTTCTGGTATGTGGTTCCCTCCCCTTCGACGGTCGAACATTACATGACCTTCGCAATGTAGTGATTGAAGGCAGATTCCGTATTCCATACTTCATGTCACAAGGTAAGATTATCGTAACACTTCCACGCCTCCACTAATCCAATTGTTCTAGATTGCGAATATCTAATAAGACACATGTTGGTGGTCGACCCCGACAAAAGACTGACGATGACTCAGATCGCCAAACACCGATGGTTGGCGAACACGCCCCCTGTCGACACGGGTCCTGAGCGCGAACTCCAACTTAACAAGACTGTGATAGACCACATGCTGCAACTCCCCAACTTGAACCAGAACATGGTCTTGCAATCGCTGAAGAACAACACGTTCGATCACATACACGCCATCTACAATCTGCTTTTGGACAAGCTGCACCAGCGCACAATCAACTTCCAGTCGAAGATATCGCAGCAGAGGCGGGTGGGGAGCGAGGAAATCGTGGATTATTTGCACACGCGGCCACCGAAGATCAACGAGAGGAGCGAATCGTTCAACGAGCAACAACTGGTGACGCATCTCGCGGGCGAGGCGAGGCAGGGGGCGGAGCGACAGGTCGACGAATCGTTTAATTATAGGCGGGAGAGCTTCAACGAGAATTGTCTAAGGCGGGAGGAGGCGAAGGAGAGGAGGAAGTCGATTAATGAAAGTATCTCGGAGGATGGAGGGTCGCCGTTCGTGTCGATGCCGACGATTCCGGCGGTGTACTTGGTGGACGATGGGGAGAATCAGCCGTTGGAGAAGGTAAGGAGTACGGCAGTAGTTAAGAGCGTTTATCCAAAACCTAGCAAAACACGATCTGTTTCTTAACGTCAAAAAACCTACTTGCCTAAGTTTAAAAATAAAGTTGGATTCATAAATCACACATCTACAAGCAAACGTCTGTCCACATTTGAAATGGGCTTTGCTTAGCAAAATTTTGAGATAACGTCATGTATAGTGAAGATGCTGTTTCAGACGGTTGTTGAACGTAAACGGAGGACCTAATTTGTTATATTTAAGGCACCACAAAAGTCGGGAAACCTTGAAATTAGATATTTTTCAAATAGCTAATAAAAGAACTAATAACTAAAGAATATCTCGGTAACAGTATTAAATGGTGAAATATGAAATAAAATAAATTGCTAGGGTACAGAATATAACATAACTTAAAGAATAGAGTGCTTATGAGAAAAAAAAAATGTCAATAGTACAGATATATATTCTCTGTATTTCGACTACTGATCCGCCTCTCAAAAATTTCCCTTTAAAATTGCTATTGTGGTTTAATTAATAATAATGTTAGTCCTGTGGTTTGAGAAGACAAACTCATTCAAATCAAACGAATTTCTACGTGATATTCTTTCGATGTATAAACATAAATAAACACTTGAGCTTCAGATTGCCATTACTTAGTGCGGAAGGACAAGGGGTGTTTTTTAGGCCTCTGGTTTTTACTTTACAGCGGTTATTACAAAACCAAAATCGTAATATAAAATTTTATAATTTTTTTAAAGAGCTGGATTTGTCGGATTATACTAGCCTTCGACCAATTTTTTGTTGATCAAATTAAGAACTTCATTTTTTAATTTATTTAAATAAATCAAGAATTCGAAACTGAATACTTTGAAATCTTGTAGACGTTTGAAAGTTATTGAATGAGAAAATTATTTTATTGATTAAATCAGAAGGGGCTCACTCCATTTTCCCAGAAAATTTTGGGAATACAATTGCGGCGAAATTCCGGTGAGGCGGTCCGGAATCTCGCCGATAACGCGTGGGGGCGGCGTGCTTCGGTGTCAAGCCTTGGGCCGACTAGCGCCGCTAATATAAAAACTAGGGATGTACCGACTGTAGGTGTGGCCGACTAACCGACTAGCCGATTGTTCGGCCAGTAAAAACCGACTAGTCGGCCGACTGTTCGGCTTTGCTAAAACCGGTTTATAAATGCGAAAGACAGTGTGTTTTTTTTTTCTATTTCTCTGACTACCTTAAACATTTGTTTTATTTTAATAAAAGGAATAACTAAAGTTTCTTTGTTTTCCAAAAAATGTGCTAAATTTGCTTGCATAATTTTAGCATTTAATTCTGTTTTTGTAGTAACTCAGTACAAAAATAAAGAATAACACAATTTAGGGCCAGTTTATACAATATTTTAACTGAGATTAAGTTAATCACGCATTCAACAAGGCCATTAGCGACGTCTGATTGGCGTAGAGTCTGTCACATGGTACTTTAACGCCGTGTTAAAAATTAAATCGCAATTAAATATTTAATTGAGGTTCTGTACACCGGCTTTAATTGTAGTATACACTATTTTAATTTTAATAAAAAAAAAGCCGACCGATCGGCTATTTAGCCGACCAGTCGCCGACTGACAGCCGACGAGGAAAAACGGCCGAATAGTCGGCTTATCCGACCGGGTCGGCCACTAGTCGGTACATCCCTAATAAAAACACGTCTGGCCGACCTAAGCTTATGCGGTGACCTTCAGGCCGCCGAGGGTGGCGCTTTCGCCGCTGGGGGAGGGAGCACCGGGGTTGCTCTCAAGCCGGAGACACGAATCTCCAGATGGTGAGCGCCCGCGAAAATAAGACAATAAAATACAACGGCAAGAAATATTTTAAATAATAAATCGGGTTTATTCCTTACCACCAGCTACACGGATAAAATAATAAATCTTACGGCTAATCTTAACTTAAAAGAATTACAAGACAAATTTACAAAAAAAAAAAGAATAGGATGTCACGACTTCCTGGGCGCGATTTCCTGACGGGGGAATTTTTTATATGATTGGGAAAATAACGGGATATAAATTTAAGTATTTGTTCTGTATTGATTCAATTCTATTCTCATGTATTTTATTAAATGGAAATCTATACATGGTATTTCAGGGGGCCAGCACAAACATAGTGTCGATGTAAAATACTATTAAAAGAATTCAAAGTATGTATATTTCTAGTCTTCATCATACCTCCTGACACTCCATTGTTGATAAAGTAACTAGGAGATGACAAAATTAACTTAGACTGAAGTTAATAAGGTATAGCTGCTTTCAAAATAAGATAGTAAAAGTACCTGAAAAACTGACTTGACTTTTAGGGTTTTCCAACCCTAAGCGGTAGGTGGGCCAATAGGAATGATTGACAGCTTGTACCAGGTATAATGGATTAAACTTCTGGCCGTATTATGATATCCTAAAAGTCAAGTAAGTTTTCCAGGTAGTTTTACTCTCTTATTTTGAAAGCAGCTATAACACGTATTCGTTTTTAAAACCAAATTTAGTCAATGAAAGTAAATATTTTTGTGGTGCAGTTTCATCCAGAAAATCTTGGGCAGTATTTTTCTGTCATTTAACAAAAAACACGATGTGGTCAGTCTATGCTTTATTGTCATAATGATTGACACTTTTAAAAATTAATTTTTGACATACGTCATCATCCACATTTTAGTCTACGTCAAAAGGACAAACATGGCAAATTTGAGGTTATAAGTACATAAAGCCTGTTTTAGAGCTTATGTCACTCGAATGACAGAACTGCCCAAGATTTTGTGGCCGAGACTGTATTACGATATCAACTAGACTTTTGACAACTGTGTCGAATTTAAGATCGCCCACAAATGCTTTCTGTACGCTAAAAAATACAAGTAAAATTTTCGCCACAGGTATCTACATGTGTTCTTTTTCATACCATGAAAAATACACCTGACTTTAAAGACAAATTAAACAATACAGGCCTTTCGTTAATGTTTGATATCTAGTAGGTTATGAATTTTGTTTGTAAGTTGGTACTACGGACAGATTGTCAAGCTCAATTTGAAATTTGACGTTAAAGTCGCGCGTTACTACCATACGAAAAAAATACTCTGAGTCATAGATTTAAATTTTTTCAAAAACTGTGATGGTGGTAGTGTTGTTTTCCATTGAAGTTACTTGTCAGTTTGCATTTGTGATGTCAGCGTTATTAAAAAAAAATGGTCTAAAGAGTTTAGACAGTACTTCCCTCGCTGTCGGAAACTTGACGACTGCATGCCTATTGTGTTTTTTTTCTCATTACATTTTTGTAGTGGGAATTTAAAAAAAAATGCGATGACGTCATCAACATTTTTGCAAGGACACGTATATCAGTTGGGATAGATGTAGTGTAATACTAAGAATAAAATTATTATATTATATATCAATAAAATAACGAAACAATTTACTCACGTATACGTATCAGAGGCAACTGAAAATCGTGTATGTATAAACATTCTTAATTTAAGATGACAGGCGTAACAGCATACGTGAGAGTCAAACAGAGAAACTGTAAACAAAACGACCATCGGTTTTATTGCTTCGACTTCCGCTTATTATATAAAACATTGGGTTTTATTTTAATTCTTGACGGTTAAATTCACAATTGGTTGATTATAAACATGTCTATTTCACATTCGCGGAACCAAGTGAACGCATAAAACAAATGCAGGTCTGTAATGTTAAAGTCGATGTAAATAAGCGTGCTACCCTTATGTTTCAACCGAGTTTTTCCTTTAACAAATTTTGTGTCTACCAGATTGGGTTGGTTGCGGTGTAATACTAATAATAAGTGTTGCCTTTAATTTAATCAATAAAATAAATTGACTTCATTAATTTTTTTGAACCACCTCTTAAGAAAATCTAAAAAATATGAATGGAATGAAAAATCACAAGTACAAACTCATCATATTTTTTGCATTTTAGATAGGATTTATTCAGCAAAATTTAAGGGTGACGTCATCAATTTTTTTAGGAGGGATGAACAAATACATTTTGAACAAAAATTTACCATGCTTATAATAACTTTAAAATATTCCCAAGATTTCAAAGCATTCGGTTTTGTAATTCCTGATTAAATCGATAAAATAAATTCACGCCTTCATTAATTTTTTTGAGTCACCCTGCATATGCAAATCCAAAAATATGAATGGAATGATAAATCACAAGTACAGACTCATCATATTTTGTACATTTTAGATACGATTTATTCGGCAAACTTTTGAGCTGACGTCATCAGTTTTTTGTAGAAGATAACCAAATATATTTTGACTAAAAATTTATTATGCTCTTTATAGCCTTAAAACATCTGCAAGATTTCAAAGCATTCGGTTTTGTAGTTCCTGATTAAATCAATAAAATAAATTTACGCATTCATTAATTTTTTTGAGTCACCCTGTATATGCAAATCGAAAAAATTTGAATGGAATGATAAATCACAAGAAGAGACTCACCATATTTTGTACATTTTAGACAGGATTTATTCAGCAAAATTTTGTGGTGACGTCATAAATTTTTTAGGGGGGACGACCAAATACGTTTTGATCAAAAATTTACCATGCTTATGATAATTTTAAAATATCTTCAAGATTTCGAAGCATTCGGTTTTGTAGTTCCTGAGTAAATCAGTAAAATAAATTTACGCTTTCATTTATTTTCTTGAATCACCCTGTATATGCAAATCCAAAAAATATGAATGGAGTGATAGATCACAAGTACAGACTGATCATATTTTGTACATTTTAGATATGATTTATTCGGCAAATTTTCGAGCTGACGTCATCAAGTTTTTGGAGGGGATAAGCAAATATATTTTGACTAAACATTTATTATGCTTTTTATAACCTTAAAACATCTGCAAGATGTCAGAGCATTCCGTTTCGTAGTTCCTGATTAAATCAATAAAATATATTTACGCATTTATTAATTTTTTTAAGTCACTCTGTATATGCAAATCCAAAAAATATGAATG